TATTGCAACTTAGTAGTATACTTACGACATGGCTCCAAGACTTTTATTATGTTTGTAACTCTATCCCACTCCCCATCAGATAAATTTTTAAAGTTATTAAACTTTCTTAGGTCTATTTCTCTACAAAACATTTTTAACTGGAGCAAACGTGAAAGCATATCAAACGTAGAACCCCAACGGGTGGTACAATCTATAATGGGTTTCTTGAACTTCTCCTTTTTCAACATGTAAAGAAATGTTGGTGTTCTTAATGTTTTTACAACATTGCGTGCACTCAAAATTAGTTTGCCAACTAAAGTCTCCTGTTGCAAGGCATCCTCAATTGCCAGCTGCAGTGTGTGTGCAACACAACGCATACCTAAAAGTCAGAATTATAAAAACACATTTTTATTTTATGTTTGGAAATCTATTTACCAGTCACTTTTAATGTTGAAGTTGAAAGACCTTGACCTTCCATACAATTTTCATGAAATACTTTAAAAATGTCATGGTGAACCTCCTGTTCTTCGGTATTTATAGAATCAGAACCTTCTATATTATTCTCTACCACAATTTCTACATTATTTAAATTTTCACCCCATTCACATTCACCGCTGAAATCAGTTTCGGCTTCAAGTACTTCATATTCACCATTCTCTGAAGCTATTATCTTTATCGCTTTCAACATATTTGTTCCATTATCTGTTGTTATTGAATATATCTGATCATTTTTAATTTGAAAACCAGCCAGTACTTCCAATATAATATATTTGATGTTAGTTCCTATAAAAAAAAGTATGAAATATTTTAATATATTATATTCTACATTTACCTGTATGTTGAGAAATTTCTTTTAATGCTATTGTTCTTAACATAATTTTTGCATTTTTAACATACTGGATATTAATACCCAGAAATGAGCGATCTAGTCTTGTTACTCCATCTACTTTAACAGAAACCATACCATGTTTTACCTCTTCGATGATTGTTTCTCTTAATTTTGTGGCTTCTAGGGATACATATTTTTGAATACTCTCAGCGGAGAGTGAAAAATCTTTCCCTTTTTTCTTAACAAATCCATTTTTAATGGGTTCTAAAATCTTTTGAAACCCACTATCTTCCATTAAACTAAATGGCCTGCCATTTACAGTTACCATTTCAACACATGCATTAATCAACATTTCTTTAGAAAGTTCAATTTTAATTGTATTTATTTCATTTACCATGGGTTGACTTTTACTTTTACTAATTGTTTTGGAATCCGATGACTTCTTAACACAAAATTGATCTTCAGAGAAATCATGCACTCTTAGTAAATGTTTTTTAAATTAGTACCATGATGACCCTCTAAAATGGATGGTTTGGTGTTACAACTTTAATTAATCACAAGACAAAATTAATTAGATTTAAGCATGATTTACCTTTATTGGTTCCTTACACAACTTGCATACTGATTTATCCTCTTCTGCGTTATACTCAAAGTGCTTATGAGCTACATTAGTTGTATTCCGACCCATCGCCAACATTTAACATATAAAATGTTTATGTCGCTAACGCTAACTTAACTTATGTCGGTTAAGTGTTAAGTGTAATCAATCACGTGTTTAACTTTTATTATCCTTCATCCACGGAACCATAGAATATATAATATCACGGAACATATTATTCAGAATATCTATGACATTATTCACTTCCTGTCTCCATTCCTATTCCTCTTCCAGGATAAGTGATAAGGCAATTTTTACAAGGATACAAAAACCACAAAAAAGTCAGTGGTCAAATATGTTTACGAATTTATCAAAGCAAATGTAAAAAACCGAAAATACCGTTTTACTTTTAACGGTTCTGGTTCCGGTGTAATGTTAGGACAGGAGACTATCTTCTATTTATTTAATGAAACCAAAGTCGAATCGAATATATATATCATCATTTATTTTTATCTTGAATATGGGTTACATTACAAAGAATTACTGCATTCGTTCTTTCATTGAACCTTGCAGTCTATATTGGAAAAACCATCTAATTAAACAAATTAGCTCATATTGCTTAGGTGTCAATACAGGTAACCTACTTAATTGCATAGTTCTTCGTTAACAATAATTAGTTACAATATTATGATTTATATTTACAAATATTAAAATTGAATCGGTGAGTGAAAGAACAATACATATCCAAAATGATCATTTTGAGAAAAACAAAAAAAAACTATTTTAAAGGAGAACTATGGGTTATTCGGCCTAATTATGTATTGTGAAGTTATAGAATTTTTGTTAACCGATAATAATATGTACATAAATTTAAAAATAAAATTATGCAAAATATGATATTTGAAAAAATGACTTGCAGTTATACTGTTCTTTCACTCAATTTAAAAAAAATCCTTTAATTTTTTTTTGTAGCTTTATTGATTATTATTTAACAAACTTATTTTTAATTTTTTAATCAGAATCTTCATTTTTGACTTTCCAAGAAATAATATATGGTAGTAAAACTCTAGGATTTCATCACTAAAGTAGAATAAAAGTATCTTTATATTGGCTATCTTCTTTACGTTAATAGGGACAAGTTCTGAGTATGTCTTTTCTAATGGCGAGCATACACGTAACGGTCTACCGGAGAAGCCTACCTGTGCAGATATTCCTGCGCAGGTCGGCTTTATGTTGTAGCGTGCATGTCTACCTGTGCAGGCACACCTGCACAGACAGACCGTATGCCCGCCATAAGGGTAACTGCAGATTGGCATTAGGTTTGATATCAGTCTAATGCGCCCCACACATAAAAGTGTGCGAGAGAAAACCGCCTATGAAGGCACTTGTAGTAACATATCCAGAAGTTTTACCAGTGTATGTAAACTGGCTGTACTGTGGAATGACAAAATTAGCTTTTTGTTCATCAGCTGATTTAGAGGTTTTTTTATAAAAGTGCGACCACCAGTTTTTGAAATTTGTCTACGAAACGACATGGCTACTGAGTGAAAAAATAGTACATGCGCCGTACTTGTACTGTTCTTTCCCTCAACCGAATATTGAACAAGCCCCCATCGCTCGTATAATGTTGGTCTGTGCATTATTCTTTCGCTATGTGATAGGCCTATGAATTTTAAACAATTTGCCTATCTCAGTTAAAATTACCGTTTTTGGCACTTGTACTGTTCTTTCACTCACCGATTCAATTATACTTAAGCCTATTTTAAACTTAATAACTAAGGCCGGCATTACATCTTCCTCGAGGATTTTGAGAAACAATTTAATTTCCTAAATTAAAATTTTTTCTATTCATAATACAACTTAACTCTATTTTTATGAACTAACTTTTCATTTCCTTCTATTTCTAAAGCAAGATTTGGAGATTCTTCTCTTATAATTTTATATGGCCCCAAAAACAAAGGTTCCCTTTTACTATCAGTTTCATTTCTTACAAGTACCTTATCTCCTACCTTATAATTTATACTTTTAGTTTTCATATCATATGTTAATTTCCGTTTGTTCTTTGACTCTAATAAATTTTCATGAGCATCTTTCCATGCTTGCTGTAGCCGATATTTTAATTCAGATGGATAATTTTCAAAAGTGTACAACGGATCTATGCTGCAAGAAATGTTTGTTGGTATATTGCATTTTTTACCAAATATTAGCTCATAAGGAGTATATTTTGTTTCTGAATGTACCGTTGTATTGTATGCGAAACACCAATAAGAAGTACTGAAATTTCCAGGATTGTTCGCTGTTTGAATTCTTAAAAATGCTCCAAAATGTTTATGATTATTTTCGATTTGTCCTAACGTTTCGTGATGATAAGCAACTGAATTTAATTTTTGAATTTTTAACATTTTACAAATCTCCGTAAATACTGTGTTCATAAATTCAGTTCCTTGATCGGTTAATATTTCATGAGGTATACCATAACGTAATATAAAGTTTTCTACAAAAGCTTTTGCAACTGTTACTGCTTCTTTATTAGGTAATGCATACCCCTCTAGATATTTACTTAAATCACATTGCACCGTTAAGATGTATCGGTTATTTTCATAATCAGCTTCAAACGGACCAACTAAATATAAATGAACTTTTTCAAATGATGAGGTTGCTGTAGTTGTGATTGTCATGGGTTCTTTTGCTAAAATAGAATGCTTAAATCTTTGACAATCATCACATTTTCTTAAAAATTTAACCACATCCTCATATATACCTAACCAGTAATAATATTGCTTAATATTATTATACATTCTTTTTATTCCAGCGTGACCCCCAGTAGGTAAAATGTGAAAATCATTTAAAATCAACTGTCTATTTTCATAACTCGTGACCCTTTCTACCCCTTTTATAATAGTTATACCTATTTTACATTCCTCGAATTCTTGCTTGTGCAGCATTATATCTTTTATAAGTGAAGACGCGCCTTTTAAATTTTTTATAATATACATTTCAGTAATATGATATTTTTTGCATATAGTAAAGAGTTCTCTCAACGATGTCCCTAGAGCACACGTTGATCGAAATTCTCTTTTTACATAAATAATTTGCTTTTCCAAATTGTAAATAAAATTATGTTGTCTATGTATATGTTGTTTATTTGTAATTTTCTCCAATTGTTCACTGCTAATTAATTGTAATTCTACCGTGTTTTTATTTGGCTTTAACAATTCCACCAATCCAGGGTGATCAGACCTAGTAGAAGAATTATTATTCGCCGTTTCTAACTCTGTTAATTGTATTTGTTTTTTCGTTTGAGACCTTGTTACTACGTTTACTAACTCATTTTTGTTACCTATATTTTTTAGCTCTTCAGATGACATTTCTATCCTAGACAAAGCGTCTGCTTCCACATTGTCTTTTCCTTTTATATAATTAACTACATAATCATATTCTTCTAATACTAACCTAAATTTAGTTAATCTACTCGAAGGGTTGGTCATCCCAAATAAATAAATAAGTGGGCGGTGATCTGTCAAAATGACAAATCGACTAGAATAAAGATATGGTCTGAAATGTTTTACGGACCACACAATAGCCAATAATTCT